CACTCAAACGTGTTGGTACAGGGTAGGAGTATCCAACAGAACCTTGTCCTTCTCTGGGACTTATTCCACTATCTAACTGATCATGCTGTCCCGGCAATTTTTGTTTCACTTGATCAGAGCAAGGCCTTTGATCAAGTCCACCATGATTTCTTGTGGTACGTTTTGGGGAGATATGGCTTCCTCTCCTCTTCCTTTGTGTGTTATTTGAAGGCATTCTACACCTCTGCCTCTAGCAGTCTTCTGGTGAATGGCCTTTTGATGGCTCCTTTTGTTTTCACTCAAAGTGTTCGCCAAGGTTGTCCATTATCGCCTTCTTTGTACACACTAGTGATTGAGTGCCTTCTCTCGTACATTTTTCACACGTCTTCCATCCATGGTATTTCCCTACCAGGTAGGGTGTTTGTCAAGTATGTCAGTCATGCTGGTGATGTCAACCTGTTCCTGTCTGACCAGACTTCCCTTGGTTCTGCTTTGGCTGTTGTTACTTTGTATTCAAGAGCCAGTGCAGCTCAGTTAAATTATGTCAACTCTCGGGGTCGTTGGTTAGGAAGGTGGGCTTCATCTGCAGACACACCATTTGGTCTTACCTGGACTACCTCCCCTATTAAATGTTTCAGGATCCTCTTCCTTTCCAATCCCGAGACTGTCTGAGAGGATGTTGTTAGTCGTGTGTGTTCACTGGTGCAGGATTACCGCTATTGCCCTGCTAATTTATTTTAAAGGGCAAATGTGATCTGCACACATATCTTGCCTTTTTTGTGGTACCTTGAGGCTATTTTCCCCCTACCAAAATGCTGCACTCACTTAATCAATCGCCAGGTTTTCTCCTTCTTGTGCAAGACTGAACTGGTATCTCGGTTGTCTTAAACCTTGCCACTCCACAAGGGGGTCTTGGAATCCCTTGTGTGCATTCCCGGTGTTTATCCTTAATGTTGGCTTTAACTGTGCATGGTCGGTCCTGGATGGGACATCCCTGTTGTCCCCTACTGCGTTTCTTCCTTGGTACAGGCATCAGGGAATTTGACTCTGCCATTGCTCTTGACACACCTGTGTGTTTTGAGCCCCCCATGGTACACCTTGGTACACCAAGGTCGTGGTGGCACTTTGACACTGTCGAGGTTCTTCCCCCTTCCTCGATTTATCTACAAACTCACGTTCTTTCTATACAGTTCTGGCCCCGAATCACTCCCATAGGATTAAGCAGTACCACCCTGCCCTTCCATGGGATGTTATTTTGTGCCGTGTGACGATGCGCCATGTTGATCAATACCTACAGGCCTTCAACTGGCATATTGCTCACAACATTCTGCCTGTGAGGGAACGTTTGTTTCTGTTTAACATCAGTGCCACTAAGTCATGTCCTATCTGCCATGCAAAGGTAGCTTCTACTCTCCACCTTTTAGTCCTGTGTCCCATATCGGTGCAGATTTGGAGATTTGTCTTTCAGCTATTCCATACCTCACCAATATCTGCCAGAATTATTCTTTACCATGTACCCTCCCCGGTTTCTGGTCACTTGGCCTTTCAGTTTCACTATATCCTTTTGCTCTGCAAATATGTCATCTGGCTCATGAGGAACCGCTACGTGTACGAGCGGGTTCCCGTGACTTTCCAGAGCATTTACTGTAAGGTCAAGTTCAAGCTGTTGCTCCATCTTGAGGCAGATTTCCAGCTTCTAGGAACTGGGGAGCTCTTTCAATGTTGGCATCCTGATGTTTCTCCCCTGTTCACCATTGGCAGTGAGAGAGTTCTCATTGTTGTTTTTTGTTGTTTTTTTGTATTATATTTTCTGTTATTTTTTAATTTTTTTTTGCAATGACCATTGTTTGTAATTTTCCTTTTTGCATATTGTACAGAAAATCAAACAAAAAATACTTTCTTCCTTTGTACATATTGTCTAATAATTTCAGAACTTTGTACATATTGTGTGTTAATTTCAGTATTTTGTGAAATGTAACATTCCGTACTTTGTACATATTGTATATAAATTTTCTAGTTCATAATTCTTGTACATTTAGTTCATTATATTCACTTTTCCCTGTTATTCTTTATTTTATATTGTAAATATTTAATTTTTGTTTGTCCATCGTTTTGTACTGTTTTATTTTACTGAAAATTGTTGTAAATAAATTTCACATTGGTACTATACTTCAAAACCTAGGGTCCATATAGTGTTCTCCCTATTAATTGTCGATGGCCCATGTCAGGGTTGTCCGATTGTGTGCACACACAGTGAGTTGGGGTGGAGGTGGAAAGCGTGGGTTCTGCAAATATCCCTTTAACGTTGGTCCATCGCTTAGGGGTACTTGTACCGTCCAGGAGGAACCATTCCACTTTCACTGGCCTCCCCTTTAATCTAAAACTAGATCTGAACATTATATTAAAAGTATTTGTTGCAAGTAAAAGAATGCTAATGTATGTGTTGCTTAAAAATGTGTATTTGAGTGCTTTCAGTATTTGTCAATAGATGGCACGCCCTTCGTTTCTTTGATAAAAATATATTCTGCTAATTAATAAGTAGTAAGTTTTTCCAAAATCATTATTATTATGAGAGTATCTTCTGTAAGTTAGTTTTTAAACCCGCATGCAAGATTTTTCCATTCTGAAGACCTTCTCCCAATTTCTCTTTGTTCATGGCTTCTATATTTACTGTAAGGCCTCCTACATTAACAAAACCCCAAACTGTCGAGGAGCTAGAACCAATTAACAGATAAGAATTTCCATGAAAACACGCAAAAAGTTGAGTAATCCCTGCATTTCCTCTATACAGCAACATAGTGAAGAAACAGGACACAAACTCAACTTATCAAATTTCAATACCCTTTGCAAAGCCAACAATGATCTGGAATTACTCATTAAAGAAACTCTCCACATCAAACAGCTTTCACCAACACTGAACAACATGCAGTCTTCATGTAAATTGCACATTTTCTAATATGTACAGTATTTTGTTTGTTACTCATTTATTTTTTTATATTGTTTTAATTTTGGTTAAATTACTGTTATTATGGCAATATATTTCAGTTACTTACTTGGGAATGATGTAGTTCTTTTATTTTTCTTTAGCTCCTGAAGATGGAACCTGATGAATTCCGAAATGTTTATCAATGTATCTTTGTGTTATAAATAAACAATGTTGTTTGTATGACGTATCTTTATCCTGTTTATTGTCAGCCAAAGCAAAGAAATTGTTATAGTATTCATAAACTATAGTTTCGTCACACTCGTTCTTACGCAGTGTCCTCTCCTCTAACTCCACCCTGTGGCTCAGTGATTAATCTGAAGGCTACTAACGCTAAAAACCTGGTTTCTATGTCCACGGTGGACATAGCACATACAGCCCATTTTGTAATTTTCTGCTAATATATAAACAAACTTAGCAGTTAGTAACTGTATTAGTATTAATCGCCTTTTGGTACTTTTAATTGTAGAAAAAACATCAAAAGCTAAATAATTGTACCCTTAAATGCTGTAAAGGTTTACTACCACACTGGAAAAACCTTGAGTTCTGTTCGTTGTGCTTTATGTAATTCAATATCACGAGATGGCAGAACATGTTTAGAGCATGTGCAATAATAAGAAGTATAATCCTGGTCTGAACTGCATTATTTTGGTAAGTCGAAATATTAATTTAGAGAAAAAGAACAGTAAATCGACTTTAGTTGTTTCAGCTTACAATGAATAAACTTTGACCAAAACAAGCAAGAATTCGGTAGTATTGAAGCTAATTTTAACTAACAACAAAACCACCAAAAATATAAAAGTGTGGTACCAATATGCGAATTTTAAGTTGATTAATTTTTCTAAATATTTTAACAATTTATATTTACAAATTTAAGATACAACAATTTTCTATTTGAGTAAGGAAGCACATGGAACATTGATCTTCTTCATGTAAAAAAAAGACAGACCAATGTTCTATTAAAACATGTAGTGTGTTCCATCAACAATAAAACTCTGACTTATGCTTATAAGTCGTTGTTTGCCTACCTATTATTATAATTTTCTAGCTTAGATCAACAACTAATTGTTATTATTGCCCTTGATTTGATAATATGTTGTTTGACTTTGATTTGGAATTCAACACGTTAGAACACTGTAAGTATATTACCACAATAAAAACGAGTTTGTTTGAAGTTAAGCATAAAGCTACACAATGAGCTATCTGTGCTCTGCCCATTACGGTATCGAAACCCGTTTTCTAGCATTGTACGTCCGCAGACGTCCCGTTGTGCCATTGGGGGCTTGTTTGAAATTGTTGGATTATTTGCATGGAGATATCTAGGTTAGTAACTGTTTAACCAATATTTATTAAGATCTCTGAAATTATTTTCTCTTGAAAAGATTTAGAAGGAATATGATTGATTCCCTTAAGAATGTTAACGGAATTGATTATATTGGTGCATCATCTTTATATATTTTACCTAATTGTGAGAATGGTAAGGAATAACCGTGGACAGAGTGAAAATAATTAATAATAATTTTAATATGAAGTCGCATTAAAAATGGTATTTTGCATAACATGCAATATCATAAGTTTTATTTTTGATGTAATATCTTGTATGTTATCCAAATAATTTATTCCAGAATCCTCTGTTATTAGCGTAAAAATATCCATATTATCTCTTGTATATTTACATTGTCACCTACGCAAAAATGATCAACGAAGTGTGAAAACGGTAAAACTCTGAAGAAACGTTTCATACTTGTGTTTATAGGGAATAATATTCATTTTCTTCTTTTCACATAGTAACATAAGATAAGACTAAATTTAATGTAAACTCTTTTTAATTGGATGTTTCATCGTATGAATAATGAAGCTAAATTTTAGCTTTTTATGAGTGTTTATTATAAAAAAATGCATTAAATTTAAAGTACTTAAGTGTCTCTATTTTTATCGAATATTAGTAACTGTAAGCCTAATAGTAATACTACTACTAGTAATAGTAAACTGTAAAGTTATATTAGTGACGAAAAGGCTGACAATACAACTGCAAGTAGTCATTGCTTTGATTTTTGGCCGAGCGCGAATTTTTATTATAGTATAACTACAATACTACTATTAACATTACTATTAGATAGTACATATGAGATCAGGATTGCTTATTGCACTAACCCGTTCATAATTTAGCATCAAATATAATGGGCTTAGTTTAACAGTACCACTACCAGTCATATTCATATAGGTAGTAATACCAATGGTACTTAAAAGTTAAAGTTAAGATAAGTAAATTAAGAGTAAAGCACTTACTACTAGTAGTAGTATTATGTTGATAAGATTAATTATATCCTGTTACTGATTGATGGTTTTAAAGTTTAATAGGTAATGTGCATTTCTTTTTTAGCTTATCAGTATCACTTCAAGTTGTAACACAAGACATTATTATCCACTTCAGCCTAAATAAAAAATTCCTAGTTTTAATCTGCGGAGAGAACATGTTGAAGCTTGACTGTTCTATAATGCTTGGCAAGCACTTTTACAGATATTTTAGTGAATTATATGTAGTTTTATTTATTCCATATAGATTTTATTATGCTACTTAATGTGAAAACAATAAAAAAATTTGTAAACTTAATTAGAAGTGTGTGTGATATTTACTGTGCACTGGAAAATATTGTCACAAATATAAAACATTTTAAATTGGTTTAACAATCCCATTGGAAGACTGTGCTTTCCAATCACAAAAACCAAGTGATTGAACCATACCCAAGATGTGTGGTACATACCCTCACACAAATAATAGTAGATACATATTACAGGGAGCCTAAACCTTTCACACACTCATCCTGGACTTATGGTATGTCCCTTCACACAAGTTATAGTAGACACATATTATAGGGGGTTTAAACCTTTCACAGACTTATCCTGGATTTGTGGTATGTCCCTTCACACAAGTTATAGTAGATACATATTATAGGGGGTTTAAACCTTTCACAGACTTATTGTGCATTTATTGTATGCCCTCTCACACAAGTAATAGTATATACATGTTATAGAGGGCCTAAACCTTTCATAGGTTCATCATAACATACTATTACTTGTGCGAGGGAGTAGCCCCTCTATAACATTTATCTACTATTACTTGTGCGAGGAGACATACCACATATGCCAGATGAACCTATGAAAGGTTTAGGCCCTCTATAACATTTATCTACTATTACTTATGCGAGGAGATATACCACATATCCCAAGGGGGCCGCACTGCATCTATTTCTGTAATATACCTGATGTGTAATACTTTAGTGTTATGTGTGTGAAAAGTAATTAAATAAAGAGTGAATGGTATTCCAGTAACCAGAAGAATAACAAAATAGATATCTTACCAACAAATGTACAATGAAAAATAGAAATAAGCTCAATGTATTGTAATCAACTAGTTGGACAGTTGTCTACTTGTGGTGTGCCAATTTATTGAACATTGTCTCAGACCTCTTGCATTGCTGGAAACCCTAGTTAGGGTATATTTCCTCTTATCTATACTAAAATAGGTGAAAAGTAGCTTGGCTTGAATCAAGAACCATCAGTCTACGTTAATATACTGAGACAACTTCTACCAGCCGTTATAAAACACTTCACCTAGTTATTTACAGTGTGAATACAAAGTGTATGTAAGCTAAGTGTCAAATTATGACCAAGATTTAATGTGTCACATTTCTGATGCATTTCTACTCTTAACGTTCCTCACTTCTTAACAAATTGGCAAATGTTCATTTTTAGATTTTTTGTGGAAAGTAAATATTTAATTATTTTGGTATAGTTTTTGTTTCTCAGTTTAAAAATATTGAAGGTCTTTGAGAAAAACTTTAAAATAAAATTTTCCTGAGTCTGATAGTTTTTTTACAAGTGTTGTATTATTTTGTGCGAGAAACATAATATTTGTTGGAGTAATAAAAAATCGGGTGGCTGTTTTACCATTATTTATGGTGACATGTGAAAATCTTGCTTTGCCAGTCAAAAGGATCAGAACCCTTATGTATTTATAAGTTTATGAATTTACACAAACAATGCTTCATATTCATTTTAACTTATGTTGTAATGACTATTATTTCTAGATAGGGAGAAAGTGTATTTTTTATGGAAAACTACGTTTGTCTTTTCACGTGAATTGTGTATTAAAGATATATACGTTTAATATGTTTATTTTTAACACGTGAGTCACATACTTATTATACTTTGATTTTTTGTTATGTTCAGGGACCAAAATTGGAAGAGACAGCAGAAATGTCAAGTGTGGTTTGATCAACAAGTGGTCCCAAACTAAAGAAACAGGTTGTTCTGCAGTGAAAAGCTTTGAAATAAATATTTACCAATGCATTATGTGGTAGTTTGAGTCATTAAGAATTTTAGTGTCTTACTAGCAATAGCTAGTGGGTTAACCATAGCTCAGTAGCTAAATCACTTGGATTTGATACTAACAGTAAAAATAGTACTACTGAAACTGCATTAGTAAAAACAAAAAGGAATAATAGAGATGCACTAAAAATGTAACATTCTGGACTTTCACCAGATTTTTATGCTTTCCATGTACTTTATATCTGAAACATTGAGATTACTACTATTTTATAGTGTGAATTTGTTTAATATATTTCTTTCACACTGTATTGTGTTGAAAAGTCTCATTGCTAGGGTGTGTAATACATGTACATAGTTTACACTTAAATGAACAGTTACATAAAAAAGTAAATAAAGGTCCAATTGATAAATTTGTGATAGATTGGTAACAGCGGAGATATAATTTCCATTTTTCATGTTGTTGTTAGCAAAAAACATTTGTTTCATGTGTTTTCATTTTGTGTCTTTTGGATTTTTCAACTTTACCAAGCTATCACTAATGTTGTCATCAATGAAATTTAACATATTTTAACTCTGCAGAATGGAGGCAAGTGTATTGTTATTGGACACCGTTGGAGGACGTTTTTGTGTGTCTACAAAATTTCATGGTGTATTTTCATTCATTCTTTTTTTTTTTTAGATTCCTTGCCACTATTAAGAGAGAGTATCCATGGAGTTGAAGATTTATATGATTCAAGAAGAACATTATATTTTGAATATTTGACTGTACTGTTGGCATCAGATTTACACATTCTATTTCAAATAAATTAATTGTTTGTCAACATTTTTATTACACCATAGCTTAGAACCTGACTGGTTCTTTCTATGAAAATCTTTCACTTCACATATAGTTTGTTTAGATAAGTTTGTGATATCTGAATTTAAACAATATATATAAATATATTATTATGGAATATAAAAATGTTTTCAATTGTGTATTATCCTTTTGTTTGGGAATCATATGCTCCATAAGGGAATGTCAGTATCAAGTCTAACAGTCTATGAATAAATTTATTTATAGTAATTAAGTAGAAATTATTAGTGAACATTAATATGATAAAAATATCAATTGGGTATATATACTGGATTTAAATAGAATGAGTGCAGGTAGTTTGGAATTATTTTTTCCAGTATATTATTTAAGTCATGACAAATTTTCATTGTATATGTTTATTAAGTTGAAATTATTTTTAATTTGCATTTGCCATACCTGTATTTTACAGGAGGAAACAATGCCACCAATACTCACAATAATATCCACGATATGCATGCCTGTAACAATGTAAGTTTTCAAGAGATTCTATGTTAGCCAAGTATGTAGAAAATGCAAAGTAAATTATAATATTTTTAAATTATTTGTGTTTGTTATGATAATTACAAAATAAAATGAGTTATGACAGACTATTTTATATTATAATAATGTGTTATCTGTAAATTAGTTTCTTGTCAATTGTTTTTTAAACATTTTGAGTAAAGACATAGTATTAAAACAATTCATGAATTACAACTCAAAGTTAATATGATATTGTGCAGTTTGATTTTCCTTCATTATGGCTTCGTAAGTCGAGTTGTGCATGAGTGATTGTATGTATGGATATATCGCTATTTAAAATCAATATAAAAACATTAATTGTTAGTATTACAAACAACTCTCTACGTGCCACTGATATTTATTAGTTTGTACATAACTTACTCAAAGAAAGTGAGAAAACTCATTTTAAAACTACTTTGACACATAGCAGTAGTAAAAGGCATTGATAACACCAATCTTACTAAACACCCTTTTGTTTTTTTAACTTTAGTTGATGGCAGATCTACTCATTGGCGACATGATTTATCCAATAGGGTTGTGTAAAGATTACAAAAAGATGACGTGCAAACTAATGACTGCTTTATTTACTGAACAAGAAATGATCAATAGTCATGTGACGGGCAAAAGACTTGGGTTAAAAAGTGGAGAGACAAGGGCTGTTTTGAACCAGGATAAAGTTAACTTAATTGTCGGTAAGTTTGGCTGTAATAAATTATAAAAGTATGCTCTAAGATAGGTGTTGTGGTTTCTTAAATATTATAATATATTATATTTATGCCTTCACAACAGATTTACGGCTTGGCATGGCCAGGTGGTTAAGGAACTTGACTCGCAATCTGAGGGTCACGAGTCTAAATTCACGTCCCATCAAAAATGCTCGCCTTTTCAGCCATGGGGATGTTATAATGTGACAGGCAATCCCACTATTTATTGGTAAAAGAGTTGACGGTTGGATTTATTAAATGAAATATGAGGTTCCTTGTTGAGCTGGCCCTGCATGGCCAGGTGATTAGGGTGCTCGACTCGCAATCTAAGGGTCACAGGTTCAGATCCCCATCCCTCCAAACATGCTCATCCTTTCAGCTGTGGGGGCATTATAATGTGACGGTCAGTCTCGCTATTCGTAGCCCAAGAGTTGGCGGTGGGTGGTGATGACTAGCTGCCTTCCCTCTAGTCTTTCACTGCTAAATTAGGGATGGCTAGTGCAGATAGCCCTCGTGTAGCTTTACTTGAAATTCTTTGTGGACTTTATCCTTCATCTGGGCAAGAGACTAGAGTTAGGAAGAAATTATTCTCACCTCCTTCCGTAACTGATTGGTATGAAACATTGTATATTTAATTGTGAGTCATTGTAGTTCTATTGGCTTAATAATATGTGATAAAGATAGCCGTAACATTATAAGGTAACAAACCATACATTGTGAGAGGGTTGACGGGAAACGTAAAACAAAATGTGCCGTAATTCAGTTGTTTTAGGTTGCCCATTGTGCAAGACCATTTTGTTGTTTATGTGGAGTTACAAAACTGATGTCGCTTGATAGCATTTTCTTTAAATTTGGTCAGAAATATTTAAATACTTTGAACATTCTTGTATCTTAACTATTTTCTCGATTATCCCGAATGCAGATTGTGTCATTTTTTTTATTCAGTTATCATGTTTGCTTCAGCATTTCTGTGAAAATTTATACATTGGACTGTGCGTCAAGAATCCTATTACTTTTTATATATCAAGTTTCTCAAGCTTGATAAAGACTTCTTTACACATCAGTTTTTACTTAGATTCATATTATAATTCCCATGTTTCAATGACGTGACCTCTTACATGTATAAGTATCTTAAAATTTATTATTTTTTTTATCTTACTACAGCTCTTACATAAAAACCAGAAACAGTAATGAAATTTAGTTTGTTACAATGACTTATTGTGTTATTAGTAAGATTGTTTTATCACTTTGTTCATAAAAAATAAATTAGTTTTCTTGTAGCAATCAATGCTGACATTACATGAATATTCCACACCTGTATAAAAATATAACATGGTCTGTCTTTGTCCTACCACTATAATTTGGTTTTCAGACATACAGGTTTGATTCTGATAACACCTGTCTCATTTGTTTTAAGTGTTTGATGTAGGCAACCAGTGTGATTTAAAGAGAATATTTATTTGAGTATTGAGAGGTAAATGTGTTCGTTCAGTTTTTTGATATTGTAATTTTTTATTATTTTTTTTAGATTTAGTGAAATCACATTTTTCATTTGCCACTGAACCTCAAATCAGGAGAAAAATGAGCCAAAAATGCAAGGATTTGAGAATAGCAAAAAGCAAGCGAATTAAAAGAAACAACACAACAGTGTTTCTCTAAATTTAAGTTCTCTGTAATTGTATTTCACAAACAATTATTTTTATGTTTGTACTTTTTTTTTCTCCAAGTATGTAAGCTATTTGATATTATTATTATATTAGACTTTAAAATATATCGCTAATAAATATGTATTTATTGGTATAAGAAACTTAAAAATCTTCTAAAAAATCAAGAAGATGCAAATTGAGCAAAACATTTGCTTTCTAACAAGAACAGAAACAATACGTATACATCAAAAACATATTGAGTATATATTTACTGTGTTACTTCATTACTAGTCAATATAAGTGTTATTTTATTTTCTCTTAATAATTGGAATGTATTAGTTTAATAAGATAAAAGCTTAAATAATATCATTAATTTGTTGTATGAAACAATTGTTCTGGATAAATAACTCCAAAATTATGAAACTTTAGAAGTTAGCCTTTTGTGAAGTCTTTTTTTTTTCATTTTTATATCTGTAATTTATTCTTTTGAGGGGGGGTGGTGGAATAAAACGTTTAAGAAATCAAATGTGTCCTCATTCTTTATATTGAACCCTATAAATGACATACACAACTGCAGTTACTTTAAAAGGTATGGTATTTTGAAGGTGACTTATTTTGACAGTAAAGTATTTTGAAAAGCATGTCACACCCAGTTCGGTATTATTTTCCAGATGAATGGTTAAAATAATGACCAAAAATTGAGCATTTTAGTTCAAACTAGTGGAACCACTTAAACAATTAATATTCACCAATCTTTTATGACCAAAGAATATTTCAAATATTATCAATACTAGTTAAAGTCTATAGCATGTACTGCCTTAATTGTTTTGCTTCACAGAAACATCGTGTATGTGTAATTGTTGGTGTACAGGATTACAGAATTCTGGAAATTGACCCATCTTTATATTACAGTAGCTTTTTAAATATTGTTGCGTCAGCGAGGTCAC